TAACAAACCTTCTCCTGTAATGACCCACCATCCCACTAATCTATGAATTCGAGAAGGGATGAGTGTATTCATGACCCAGTCACCTCTCAAATATCACAGTCTTGTCATTCTGGGGATTGCATTTACAACACAGGAAGTTTAAATGGCTTGTTCTAGCTCAGTAAGGCCAAAATACAGCCCATTATTTTAATTCATTTACTAGGTCTACCACATTTCTTTTCTGTAGATTCCACACACCTCAAGTTTTTACTGTACTTCAGTTTTGTTTTTGAGGAATGAGTTTATTTTTGTTCAGAGTTAGAGTTTCTTGCTTCTTAGATTTTTGCTAATGCCTTCCCATGATTCTTTGAACAGATTGCTTTGTATTTCCCATCTCTTTGGCCTGATATCTACTTTGGACAAAGCTACTTTGTATAATGCTACACGTGGAGTTTGCGTGCCCCTGAATGCCCACACGGAAGGCCTAACCTTGTCTACCTCAGAACATAACTGCGTTTGGGAGAAAGGCGATGAAAGAGGCCATTTAGTTAAAATGTGGACGTTGATGAGAGAGCCTGATCCAACAGGACTTTGTCCTTACAAAAAGAGGTTAGGATGAAGGTCCAGAGTGAAGACCATGTGAAGGAATAGGCTCCCCTTGATGAGCCAACGGTGGGGCTCAATAAGAAACCTTTCTTACCTCGATCTTGGACTTGAAGCCTCCAAATTGAGAGAAAATACATTCCTGTTGTTTCAACTACTCAGCAGCTGATGTTCTGTTGCCATGGCTTTATGAAATATTTAGCCCTTCTTGTGCACTGAATTCTTCAGTAGCAAAAACATTGTTAGACGGAGTGTTTTAAAAACAACACTATAAGCTGGTCACCTTGGCTCACGCCTGTAATCCCAGCACTCTACAGGGAGAGGTAAGTGGATCTCTTGTGAGTTTGAGGCCAGCCTGGTCTACAAGTGAGTCCAGGACAGCCAGGGCTACACAGAGAAACCATGTCTCTGGGAGAAAAAAAAAAAGCAAAAGCAAAAGCACTATATGTTACTGAAGGCTACCTTTTGGCCCATATTATATGCTAGGCACTATTTTAAATACATCACATTTTTTATTATTATATCCTTCCACCAGCCCCTCAAGGTGGATATCATGGCTGCTAGTCTAGATAATGAATGAGTCCAATTCAGAGAGATCGGTGCTAGCAAAGGACACGCAGCTAGGGAGGGGTGGAGCTGAGGCTCAAAAGTAGCTTCTGTGGAGTGTGTAGGGTCATGGAGAAGCTGAATGACATCAACTGCAAATGGAAATTACCCAGAATTGCCAAGCCCTCCCAGTGAAAAAATGAGGAACATTTTTCCTGAGGGCCTGAGCCTGGTTCTCAGCATTTACTCTGCAATCGCAAGCTGCTCGTCTGGCGGCCACGGCAGGGTCCTCGGGTCATCCAAGAACTGCCATGCCATTTCACTCTAACGACACCAGACACCCCGTGCTCACATTCTCAGTTGTTTTATTGATTTTCATATACCTTGAATCAGATTTCTTTTTCAGTTCAGAATTAAGAAGCACTGAATGAGAATTAATAGAGGGCTTGGGCTACAAAAACAGGCTTTGAAATACAATCACCCTGAATTATAGAAGCTTGTCTTTTTTTTTTTTTTTTTTTTTTAACTAGGCAACTTTAGTGAGGACATTCTTTCCTGGGGGGTTTGGTTCCTTTGTCTTTAAAGATTTATTTTAAGTTATGTGTATTGGTGGGGGAGGTGGTGTGTATGTGTGTGTGTGTGTGTGTGTGTGTGTGTGTGTGTGTGTGTGTGTGTCTGGTATGTGTACATCCATGCAGGTACCTGCAAAATCCAAGAGAAGGCATCACACACACACACACACACACACCCCGGAGCTGCAAGTTTAGGCAGCTGTGAGCCATCTCCCATGGTGCTGGGAACCTATGTGTGGGGGTGAGCCATCTCTCCAACCCCATTCCTTGCCTTTAAAATGGAGTTTATTGCACTACTTGCTTCGAGGTGGCTGTGATGGCTAAATGTAGGAATGCATATAAAATACTCCCTACCGGGCCTAGACTGAGGCAGCTTCATAGTGTCAACTCTAACAGAAAATAAAAGGAGAGTAGGGAAAAGGAACGGATGGTGAGAAGACCCTTGTACGCAGAGAACAATGACCACCATGAAAAAAACAAGTCAAGTGACTTTTTAACCAGGAGCATTTGACCAGAAAGTTCCAGAGACTCATGTCTTTCTTGAACTGGCCCCAGATCACATTTACTGGTTTTTCCAATGACGTCTTAACAGCCTTATCATTCCATCAGCTCTGGATAAATGGCATTGGCTTTGAAAGTTACAGTCGGGTATAGTTGCTAAACAGTAATGAACCTATGAAAGACAGCCCAGAGCAAGTTTCGCCCTGAAAGTTCTAGACGCTGGCCTCCATCAACAATGGGAAACCTCAGCCCCTGGAGAGCATGTTAAACTTTACCTTATGATGTCCGTCTCTGCCAGGATTAACTGCATTACCTGCTCGCAGAAGTGCAGCGTATTTGTGACAGACCAGCTGTGTTGATGCCACCGTCATAACAACACCCAACTGGGTTCAGGAGGGCTCCTCTCAGATCTCCCAGAACACATCCCTGCCAGCTGCTGCTTCTTGCTTTTCTTACCTTCCTGCTCTGTCAGCACCAGTGTGGTTTTCTCCTCTGCCCCTTTCCAGGGGTGAAGGGGGCGGGGGAAGGCTTCATGACTGGCGAAGGGGGCACGATGCTGTTCTGATGATCATAAGTACCTGTGCCTTACTATGGGCATGTGGGTAAACATTTGGGTGTCACTCTGAGGCCTTCAAGCTGCTTTGTGGGGCAGGATGGAGGCTGATAGAGTTTCCTTGGTTTTTTCTTCTCTTGCTTTTTTGTTTTATTTATTAGTACGTATTAATTATACATGATAGATTTCATTATGACATTTTCACACGTGTATATAATGCTGTTTTATTTTCCTCTGCCTTTTATCCAGAAGAACTTCAAACTGTATATTCGGAATAAACAAATTCCAGAAAAGGGAACTATGGTGTTTGATCTGATCGCCTCAAATGCCATCAAACAAAAGCATCCTTACTCAGCTTTGGGAGTCATAGCTTGGGGACTACAAGTCAGATTTAGGAAGGCTCTCTTCCATGAGTCATTTAATTTCCTCTTTTCTTCTACTTTTTACTTACCTAGAGAAAGTAATTCATTTATTTTAGGATTGGAAGGTTTGAGAGTTGTCCTTCAAGTAAAACATCAAGGAAAGAGTAGCATTTCATGAAAAATAATAAATAATATTTCAGTCTACAAAAATAATTTGCAAGAAATTTATATGAGGTTACATGTTTCATGTCATCAAATATGCCCTACCCAACTTTTTTTTTTTTAAATCAAGTGATGAGCAAAGCATTGAGGATTTGATGTTTGATTCACATCTGTCAACAGCAGTATGTCAGACGTATCAGACTTGTGTCCAAAATCCCCAAGCACGGGCATTGATTGCCCAGGAAAAGAAAATAAATCCCTCGCTCCCCCATTTTCAAGCTGAGTTAAGAAAGTAATGTGTAACTCATCCAATTCAGAGAACGAGCATAGAGAAACTAGAAAGCATGTAGGTCCCGACTGCTAGCTCTCAGCATGGAACGTTGGCTTAAGAAACAAATAGCAAGCAAATAGAGGACTCTGGAGCCATGGACTGTGGTCCACATTTCGCTCTTTCTTAGCGCATCTTGGCTTTTGTCACTGTTGCCAGTGTGTAAGATCACATCTTCCAGGATGCAGATTTATATGTTGCAAATGCAGCACTCTGTTTCTTCCCTCCATAACTCATGTTGAAACTGTGTCCTAACTGTAACAGCATTGGAAGGCACAGATTTGGAAAATCATAACTAGGATTAGATTTCTGCACAAAATGGCTTGATTTTGAGGGTTGTTTGTTTGTTTGTTTGTTTTGCACTTCTACCCTCAATCATATAAGAACTGCTGGCCCCCCTCTATATGACAAAGCATTCAGGGTGACACCTTGGAAACACAGTCAAACCGTCACTAGATAATGAAACAACAGCACCTTAATCTCAACCTTGCCAGCCTCCCCCAGAACTGTACGAAACAAATTTCTGTGCTGCATGAATTCCCAGCCTCAGGTATTCTGGTATCTCCCCCTAAACAAACTAAGACAGTGTTTAATTCTCCTCATGTACCAGAGTTCTCCTGCCATCCTGCTGTAGTCTCTGGTGGAGTTGCAAAGTTCCCCATAAGAAAAGGTATACAACAGATACCATGTCCCAGTATGTGCCAGACAGGGCAGCTGGCATTTATAAACACTATTCAGTAAATACTAAAGAAGATGTGTTCTTCCTACATATGAAAATCTCAAGTGTCTAGGCTGGAGAGATGGCTCAATGGTTAAGAGAGCGCACACTGCTCCTGCAGAGGGACCAGGTTCAGCCCCCACCACCCACACCAGCCAGCTCACTACCACCTGTGCTCTGGATCCGGTGTATCCAGCACCCTCTTCTGAACTCATACGCACATACCCACACATAGACACACACATATACACATAATTTAAAATAATAAAAATATTTTAAAGCGTCAGATGGTGTGGCTGGAGATACGGCTCTGCAATTTACAAGCACTTGTTGCTCTTGCAGAGGACCTGGGTTTGGCTCTCAGCACTCACGGGGTAGCTCAGAACCAGCTGTAATTCCGGTTCCAGGAGATCTGATGCCCTCTTCTGGCCTCTGTGGGCACCAGGCACATACATGATACATATAGATATATGAAATCAAAACATGCATACATATAAATTAAAAGTAAAATAATCTTTGAAGGAGTATTGTCTCAGAAAAATCAAATAGTAACTTGTTGAGGATAATGTGACCGGCTAAGTTGGTAAGACAGGGGTTTGGCCCTAGGATTCTAATTCCAATACTCATGCTGATTTGAGAAATAAACGCTACAATAGCCTATATGCCTCCATTTCAGAGTCTTCTGAAGAAACAAACTCTTGGACACAGTGAAGCTCTTTGCCTAGAATTCAAGTAAGTATTGAGCCCCCTGGAAGTTGGTCCCAAAGCAAGCCCAAACCCTTTCAGGAAACAGCTTTGAAGCTATTTTGAAGATGCTGGAAAGGGGCTGGGTTAGAAAACTGTCTAGAAATGTTGGTAGGAAATAAAAGTATTGGTTAAGTAACTTTTATTTCTCATGTAGGTGTCATAGGCAATATCGTGCTCAAACTTTCTTCTGGCTGACATACACACATTAAAAAATCATACCTATTTATGGGGAATCATATGATACAGGAAACCACATGACACTGCAATACAGGCCTACGTTGCGTAATGTTCAAATCATGCTAAGCACATTTAGCTCTTCAAACCCCTGTCGTCTTCTTACAGTGAAAACGTGAGGGAGATGACAGCCGGCATCCCCCAGCTGCTGTGTCCCCACAGACACGCTGATGTGAATATAGCTAGTCACACACACCAAACCCCTCCCACGGGCTCTGAAGAAGTCGGAGCGTGAATGGAAGTTCCAGGCGTGGGGGCGGGGGTTGGGCCAAATGTGCGTTAAAGGTTCTCCAGGGTTGACTGAATAACTAGAACTTTACAAGAATGGAGAGTCGGAATGTTGCACATCCAGACTTACCCAAATTATCTCTAATAGCCACTCATGGCCCACTTACCAGTCTGACCTAGCGCTCCCGTGACTACCACGTGACCCCCTCTGGTAAGCATTAACAGACTTGCACCAACGCCAAAGCAATGGGCGGGCGTAAGCAGACAATGCCCGAAACAGGCAGCCTCGGTCTCCCCGACTCGCCGTTCACCCACCTACCGTGTGTTTCTACCAACGTACTTGAAAATGCCTCGATTTTATTTTGCTCTCTGATTATAAAACTTCATGAAACTGCTACTGCGTTGAAACATGGTATTTGAGACTACTTGGTTCTGAGCTCCTGGACCATGGTCAGTCATACTTAGCTCCAGAATAAACTACCCCCTATTCCCTTTGGAGTGAGAGCCGTGTTTGACGCCAGTGCAGGTTTGACACCTTAGAACCTGGCTTTGGTATAACAGTGAGAGGACTTGCAGACAATCCCCTCCCCCAGTCCTCTGCAATACAAAGTTGTGGGGAGACTCTCCCAGCCAGGCAAGAAAAGGGGTATATAAGACCAGGCTTGTGCCTTTAAACCCGGCACCAGGTCTCTGTGATAAGACCCAGTGCGACTCAGATTCCTGCTACTAGCTACAAGCCATCTACATCATCTCCACCAGTGGGGGTTAGGGGAGGAGGAGGGAGGATCAATATTGTATATCCCATTCTAGATGAAAAACAAACCAAACGGAAAGACAGTGAGTTACTAAAAGTCTAAGGGACTTGACTACAGCCACAAAATAAATTATTGAACAGTAGTAGGCTGGGCACCAGAAACCAAACTTCCCATTCCTGATTTCGAAAACGTTCTTTTTGACACTGTAGTCTCTTTCTTCTAAACTGCTTTATGAGCACAGATCAGGCACTTCTTGCTTGAGGACACAAGTTTCCGTAAGTTTTAATCACTCGAACGACAACAATGGCTTACTGCTTTTGAGATTGTTAACTTTCAGAAATTTTAGAGTTGGAGATGCCAGCTTTGGGACTGGATTTCCCTTAAACAGGCTTTTATTGTTATGACCCTGTTTATACAGTCTCATCCAGTGAGGACTCTGGCTGTAGGGCATTGGGCTGAGGACTGACTGAGAGCCACCCAGGTGGTTGACAGGAAGAAGACAGTGCCCAGAGGGCCACAGACAGCCCCTTCTCTTGAGGCAGTAGCTGGAAACAGTTTTCCCAAGGCCCCATGTCTTATTGGGGGTATTGAAATGGTCGGATTGTTACAAACAAGGAAGAGTAAGACAAAATTAAATGCAAGTTTAATTTTGGTAACTGGGAATTCTGAATAATACAGGAAAAGAGAAAGAGCTGGTCTCTCAAGCCCCGAGTCCCCCTTGTGATGGATGGAGCATGGGTGCTAGAAACGGAGCTCGCACTGCTAATGTGTTATTACCAGTGCTCTCTCTGGTGAAAGGGAGAATGATGTTGGCCAGAAAGCCAGGATATCACCCCTTCCCTTCCTTGGGTCCTACCTTCCAGCAGAAAGACCCTAGTCTGGGTTCTTTTCCTCCAGGAGATTCCTCCCAGACAGACCCTTGATCTATTAGATCTATCCTATCCCGAACATTAAGTGACAAACGAGCTTAATGAGATGGTCCGATGCTGTATTGTATTAGGGTCCTCCAGAGAGACAGAGCCAATACAAGAGATGCTATGAGAGACGGTGACAGAGATACACAGAGATTCATTATGGGCAAGTGCCTGGCAAGTGCCAAGTTCTAAAGAATCAGTCAGTGAGCTGGAGACCTGGGTCTCACTCCAGGCTACGAAGACCAAGTTTAATTCCACAGGAAGATAAGCTTTTTCTGGTTGTTGTTGTTCGTTTGGCCTTCAACTCATTGGATATGGTCGCCTCACGTCGGAAAGGTGCAGTGAACTGACTGCGTGTATCCTCCCAAATCAGCATCTTGAAAATGCAGCATCTGGAGGTGGGGCTTTGAGGGGCAGCTGGGTCATGTCGACAGAGTTCTCACAAGCATGGTAAGTGTCCCTCTCTCCGGGAAGTGTTCAGAGAGAACCGCCTCTTCTCTATGCCGTGGAAGTCAATCATGCAGGCTCCTGATCTCAGACTTCAACATCCAGAATCTGAGATCTCCACCTGTGCTGTTTGTTCCAGAAGCAGAAACGGCTGAACTGCTGCAGGCTGCAGTGAAGAACCCAGAGCAAGCAAACCCATAGGATTAACATCCCAGAAGACACCCCAAGGCTCTGGGGCTCCACCCGCACCCATGCTCCATCATAAGGAGGATAGATGGGGCTTGAGAGACCAACTTTTTTTTTTCTTTTTTTCCCCTGTATCATTCAAGATTCCCAGTTACAAGCAATGGAAACTAAAAGGAGTTAAATTGTGCAGATAGGCATCTGTTGGCAGGATATCAAGTTACTGATAATAATGACAAAAGGGCTGGCAATGTGATTTAAAAATAAGAGAGCCAGGGCCAGCTTTTCAACACTACTGCCAACACACACAGCTCCCACCATTAAAGCCACACAGTGGCCATTGCCAAACCCCTTGCCAAGGCTCTATGAAAGTTTACCCTTTATCTGTCTTTGAGTCACACATTCAAGGGCCAGGAGAAGGGAGAGAAATACCTTTCCTTTCTGTGTCTTTTATGAGAGTTAGGGCTCCACCTCTCACTGACACATGGTCTGTGAGAGAAGATCTGCTACGTGGGGGATTGATTGGTCAGGCCTAGAATAAAGCCAGCTCAAGGCAAACAAGCCAGTTGGTAATCGTGGAATGGGGAATTATCATCGGGAACAGGAAGCAACATCTGAGAAACAGCAGTCAGTCCTCTGTTTTTTAGATGGGCTTTATCCCAAACAGAAATTTTGGAAAGAGTCTCCTAACCAATTAGCCCCCTGAGAAATACTTAGAGGCATAGGTTAAGTACCTAGTGTGATTCAAAAGCACAAAAGAGCCCTTGCAAAATAACTAGGCCTTCAGTGGAGGCTCCTTCTATTTGCATACTGTTTTCACTTAGCTGGAAAGAAAAGGGAGGAAATGCAGGTCCCTTGCTCTGTCTGAAGTTTGAAGTTTGTTTCCCACACTTGCTGGTGTGTGTGTGTGTGTGTGTGTGTGTGTGTGTGTGTGTGTGTGTGTAGGGGGAGTTTTGGGGGACCTCTAGGGCTAAACCCAGGGCCCGATGCATGGGCAGGCACACACTAAGCTAAATCTCCAGCCCTTATAGGTATTACTCCCTAGAAAAGATTCTTCACCTGTATAGAAACCTAATCCCTCTTTTTAAAAAGAAAAAGAAAAAAAAAAAATCTAAGGAAAACTACAGTCCCTTTCCCTGAAATGTGCATGGCTCCTGTTAAAAGATACAGTTTCAACAGATTTAGTTAAATGACCTAACTGGCTTCTTCCTGTGATCCCTGAGTCTGTGTGTGTCTCCTCTGAGGAGAGAGGTGAGCTTTGCTGGCCTTTCATGAGAACGGTGGACCGAAAGCAGCAGCATGGGGAAAGTGGACCTTCTCAGAAAGCCCAAGCAGAGAGCATCTCCTCACACCAGTAACACTAGCCCGCTTGGGCATTTGTCTACCGTCTCTCTCCTGGTTTCTCTGAGAGTCAGGAAAATAACAGTTTGATGATACAGAACTTGAGTCCAAGAGCCTGTGTGTTGGTCTTCTGGGGCCTCAGGGAGAAGCTCGGTGCAAACTCATTACTTCCCATAAAATTGATTTAGCTTTGCCCCAAACACTGAAAATTTTGTACAGCACTTGAGAAATGATAGAAACTCTCAGAAACTCAAAGGAATCGAACAAATTGAAATTTCATAACTTAGGGCCAGCAAGATGGCCCAGTGGATAAAAACCTAACTACATGAGCCTGAGGACCTAAGTTTGATCTCTGGAACCCATGTCTTTAAAAGAAGGGGAAAAAAGGTCTCTATTTGGCCACACATGTCTGTAACCCTAGCCCTCCTGTAGAGATGGGAAGTGAAGACCAGGAAATTGGCTGTCTGGACATATGTGGGTCAGCCAGCTCAGAATACATGGTGTGAAAACAAGGCAAAAAGCACAAGCCAACTGCCAAGAGTTGCCCTCTGACCCCCATGCAGACCATGACATGTGTGAGCCTGTGTTTACACACACAAGCAGGTCCATGTGCTGCCTGATCGAAGATGAAGAAATGTTAGGGTGGGCTTCAACCCAACATGACCAATGTTCTCATAAAAAAATGAAATTTCTAGGACTGCAGAGGTGGCCCAGCGGCTTACTGCTCTTGCATGGGACCTGAGTTCGGTTCCTAGCCTTACATCAGCAGCTCACATATAAGTACCTCTAAGTCAAGCTCCAGAGGATCCAGTATCCCTTCTTGTCTCTGTTGGCATGCACGAATACACACACACATACGCGCACACACATATTCACACACAGAAGCTGGGGATGACGCAAGGGGAAGATTCTCTCTCAAAGCTCCGCAAACACCATCGTCTCAAGCTCTCCGTCTCCTGCCTGAGCTGTGACACATGTTTTTGTTTCTAGGCCACCGGTCTGGTATCCTTTGTTACGAATGTTGGGATCAGTAAGCAGGCACTTCTACGGCCAGCCCCAAGGGACCTGACAAACCGGTTATCAGGCATCTGTGAAGACACCCTGACCACCTGGAATTACCTGCTCATGCCCTGGGTCACCCTATAAGAACTCCTGGTGCCCCCTCCCCCCCTCTTACTCTCTTACTCTCCTCTCTTTCTCTCCTCTTACTCTCTTCTTCTCTTTCTCTCCTCCTCTCTCTCTTTCTCTCTTTTTCTCTCTCTCTCTGCAACCCCCCTTCCCCTAATAAACCTCCCACGTGGAACCGATCTCGTGGTGTGATTTGTGAACCCGTGTGTAACCTCCACAGGCGCACAGGCTCACGTTTCCCAACATTCCTACGATTCCCAACATTGGTGCATTGGTCCTAACAACGAACACGCCAGGGAACCAGCACAATTCTCTGGGTCATCTGTGAAAACTGGGGACATTTCCACATTCCCGCATCCTCTCAGGACCCTGTGCCCCTCACTTAAGAGAAAGAAAAATAGCTCTTTTTGAGGGTACTCCATTGTTTTCATTGCCTTGCATTTCTTGTCGAATTTAGTCTTTAGTTCAAGTAAGTATTCAATTCTGTCTCTGTGTCACAGATGAGCAAATAGAGACAAGGATGGGGGGAAAATAAATAAATAAATAAATAAATAAATAAATAAATGAGGCTCCAAAGCCAATGTCTTGTCCACTCTTTCCTCTCACTTCCTCATTCAGCAGCAGGGAATTCAACCTTTCCAGTGTCCCTGACCTCTGGCCTTCCTCATTTTCTCCTCACTTTCAGCAGAAAGGAGGTGAGAGGCAGAGTACTGTCTACCTAGGAACCCCTGCTGCCTAGGCTCACCCTGCCCACATCTTACAGGGCTATTCAGGAAAACCTCGGCTAATTAAACTGACTGTACAGAATGCCAGGAAGCAATTAAAAACAACAACAGCAAAAAAGTTACAGGCTGTCTCATTTGCGCTGCGTTTTACTGCTTGCAAGTGTATATGAAATATAAAGTAAGCTGGAGGGCTTGGGGCAGATCTTGGGAGAGCTGCTTTAATGAATAAGTAAGTATGTTTTTGAAATTAGCTTCCTATTGTTAAGAACAAAATCCCCATGCGATCTTGAGAGTTGATGCTTTCTTATTCACGAAAACACTGTCCCTCCATTATCCGGCTTCCCCTGCTGGGACCGTGGTGGTTACTGAGAACTTCAGTTCAGAGAAATCCAGATACGACACCATCGCAGCCAAGATCAAAGGGCCGAGGTACTTCCTGTCAGGCCTGGACTCCTGTGGCCACCAGACCTAGAGTACCTCAGAAAAAAAACAAATGTTTTTGAATTCCCTACATGTTCGGTTATGGGTTCTCCCTGCTCCAAGGAGAGCGGCAGAGCCTGACTTCACTTCCTGTAGTGGGCCCCTGCCCACGTGGCCTGGAAGACCCAGCCCATTCCATTCACCCCGCTCGGTGCACCCAACAGGGTGAGCGCTGTATCCCTCTGCTCTCTTACCCTCCAGCTTGCACTGGGATCCGACAATATAGTGTGTATTTGTTACTGCAGATTCCTCACCAGTGGACAAAGTTTTGGCCCCAACAGCGTTCCTGGAAACCCTGTTCTGACAACGAAACCCCTTTTCCTATTTCCTTTAGCCCTTGTTTCCTTTGCTGCTCTAGGCTTAGCCGTGGTAGCCACTTTCCTATCGCTGCTGGGTCTTCTGCTTCTGCAATGGCTCCAGCCATGTCTGCAAACACTCCCTCTAGCAACTTTCATAAAGCATCTCTTCTTTTCAGTTGAATTGTTGTATTAGTAGGGGCCTTTCCTATCACCCGCCCTGGGGGGGTTACAAATTGATGCAGAGGCGTCTTAGATTTATTCAACAAGCTTTAGGCAGTATAACTGGGGCAGATATTCATGTATTCTAACCCTATTATGCTAGTCTGGCTACTTCCCAGCCATGTGTCCGTCTCCTGTTGGCCCGTTCTGCTGGATCTTTCTGTCCTTGTGGTGAGCCATGGCAATGTCCTCATGGCACCGCTCTTCTTCCTCAACCTCTTCTTCTCTGGCCCCTACCTGAGACACCCTCTTCCCCCCACCCCCGACTGGGAACAGAAGTCCTGCCTTCTGTCGCCTCTGCTTCTTTATTAACCAATCAGATAATTGGGGGGGGGTAATTTTTACATAATATTGAGACAGGAAATTCTTCATAGAAATGACAATGCTCACGTCTGGACTGCAACCAGATCTCAGGACACAGAAATCAAGCGTCTGAATACACACTGTACAAGACCATCCCCCCAACAACGAGGGACATTCTCCTGTGTCTTTAGTAGCCAGCACGTGGGCAAACAGTGAGCACTCAATAAATGCTTTCTAGAAATATGAGGATGGAAAGGGAATAATGAGATAATGTTCTCTCTCTCTTTCTTTCTTCTCTCTCTTTCTTTGCCTTTCTCCTCCCTTCCTTTGTGTCCCTTTCTTAGACTTTTAAATCTTCGGATTTTTGTGTTTTGTTTTGTTTTTTGTTTTTTAATTTATGATCTTGCTTAGAAACTTTCCTGTGCTGGATAGTTTTATGACAACCTGACAAGCTAAAGACATCAGAGAAGAGAGAGCCTCGATGAAGAAAAGTGCCTCCATAAGATCAAACTGTAGGTAAGCCTGTAGGGCTTTTTGTTAATTAGTGATTGAGGGGGGAGGGCATAGCCCATTATGGGTGGTGTCATCCCTAAGCTGTGGTCCTGGGTTCTATAACAAAGCAGGCTGAGCAAGCCAGTACACAGCAGCCCTCCATGGCCTCTGCATCGGCTCCTGCCTCCAGGCTCCTACCCTAACTTCCTTCAGTAGGAGATGCGGAAGCATAAGCAAAATAAGCCCTTTCCTCCCAAGTTGCCTTTGGTCACAGTATTCATCGTAGCAATGGTAACCCAAACTAAGGCAGACCCATGACGTAACCTCAAGAGACAATGGTCACTGTTATCCATCCCCTTCCTCAAAAAAATATAGAATCTGAATAGGGTAGTCAGCCTCCTATGAATGACTCACAGTACAACCAGCTAGAGCGACTGTAGACTAAAGTGTTTGGATACTGTGAGGCAAACTCGGCCTTTTCTCCTTTCAAGTTGCTTCTGTCAGGGACATGTAACAGTGGCACAGGCTGGCCAGCTGTACTGAAGAGCTGTTTTGTTTTCTGGGCCTGTAATAAAAAAAAAAAAAAAAAAAAAAGTAAGAAAAGGGAGGCTTCCTGCCTTGGCCTTCTTCAGGCAAGGCAGGAATGCCTGATGGGACACCTGGACAGTGAAGGGGGTGGTATAGCCGTACATGTGACCTTGGTGATCAGGGGTTAAAGCCAATCTGTAGGGGGAAGGATGCTCAGTGCTTCTGACCTTTACAGGATTAGCACTTCAGATGTACCAGACAAATGGTCTCATATCGTAGAACTTGAGACCTCTGTTTTTATAATAATTCTGCCTACTTCTTTTTTTTTTAAACAATGTAATAAACATCCTTTTATTAAAAAGGGCCATTTCTGTGGCTTAAAAGAATAGGGACATTTTCTGTGGATTAAAAAAAAAAAAAGTGGTGTGTGTGTGTGTGTGTGTGTGTGTGTGTGTGTGTGTGTGTATGTGTGTGTGTAACTGCAGAGCCCAGAAGTCAGTTCCCCTGGAGTTGGCGTTGCACAAGGTAGTTGTGAACTGGCCTTTTGTCACTGATGCTGGGAACTGACCTCAGGTCCTCTGGAGGAGCAGTAAGCACTGCTTAACCTCTGAGCCATCTTTCTAACCCCTTCTCCCAGGGTGTGGTAGCACATACCTTAATCCCAGTACCCAGGAGGCAGAGGCAGAGGCAGAGGCAGATGGATCTCTATGAGTTCAAGGCCTGCTTGACCTAGGTATGAAATTTCAGGGCAGCCAAGACTACATAGTGAGACCCTGTCTCATGGAAAGTATATTAATAAATAAAGATTTTTGTTGTTGTTGTTGTTTTAATGAAAGAAATTAAAGAAAAGAAAAATGTCTGTGAATCCCAATCTCCTTGCCTGTTCTCTGGCTTTGCTCAGTTTGACATGTGTGTTTGGAGAGTAATAGGAACACTCCAGACCTTCCCAGTCTGTGAGGCGGAGGGTGAAGGTTCTAGGAGGACAACCAACCGCTTTGTCCCAGGAGATGCGTGTCAGCCAGAACATGTTGGAACAGCAGTCAACCAGGGCTCACCCGTCTGAGTATCCGAAGCAGTTCTGGTTCTGCTGCTGGTCACTAGCTGAGTGACCTTCCCCTCCACTGGCCTCAGTTTCCACATGACTACAGTGGGGGCTAATCCCTTCACCGCAGCTTTGTTGGAAGGATTAACCCGGGGGACGTGTGTGACGGGGCCTAGAATAGTCCCTGGCCCTCAGCAGGCTCTGGGTAAGCCAGGCTGTAAGGATAGCGGGCTGCAAGGCCTCCCTGCATTGGCTGGCCGCAAAGAATGTAGTTAGTGCTGGTGCAGCGTCCCCGAAATGAATCGCTTTTGTCCGTTCCCGCCCCCCCCTCCCCGGCCTCACAAAAGAGGTCCCCTGGCTCTTTCTGGGCGTGAAGCAGCCAAGGCAGCCCGAGTTCTAAGAGCCCCCTTTGTCCTGACAGAGGCCTGGTTTGTCAGACACAATGCCGCCCTGGCTGCACTGGAAGCCTCTGCGGCTGTGACAAATCTGTTTGGGTTGGAGTGGCACCAGGTCACCGCTGCGATGTGTCCAAGCTCCCTGGCTGCCAGGCCCGGCGCACTCACGGGCTGTGAATTCAGCCAGGGCTGCCTTAGGTGTCCGCCACTCCGAACTCTGGGCTTGAAAGTCCGGGTGGAGGTGTCCTGGGACCGCTGGCCTGCGTGTGGGTGTCGGAAAAGCCAGCTCCTCGGAGTCTAGGCCAGACAGACCTGGGCTGGGGAGAGAAAGCTGCTGGTTATGCTTCTCGGCCGTGAAAGAGAAGCAAAAGGGGGGTTGTAACAGACTCCAATGGCAGAATTCATTACGACCCGCCAGTCATTCTGTGGCCGCTGACCCCTTGGCGGTATGCCTAGCCCTTCAGCCTGTGGCTGGGTGACAAGTGTGGCCTCTGGATTTAGGCTCTGCTGGAAGCTGTTCCAGCTCACAGGGAGCCGCTCAAGCAAGGCTCCTTTCACTGAACCAGAGCGTACCATCCTGCGCGCACAGCCACGCGTCTCCAGAGGTTTCCTCCGTGCCAGCTCACTCGGTGTCAACTATCTCCTAAATTCGTTTTTATTTGTGATACATACACATACCGCAAAGCTCATCCCTCC